AAGCCCCGCTGGGCCGCGGTGCTGCGCAGCCTGCTGTGGGTGACCCTGCTTGGGCAGGGGGTTGGGCTGGGGGATCCCCAGAGGTCCCCTTCCAGCCCCTACCATTCTGTGATTTAGAGGCATTTCGAAGGTCCCCTCTCAGCCTTCTCTTCTCCAGGCTGAACAAGCCCAGCTCCCTCAGCCTTTCCTCCTAGCAGAGATGCTCCAGCCCCCTCCTCATCCTCGTAGCCCTGATCATAGTCGAATGACAGAATTATATAAGGGTTGGAAGGGACCCTAAAGATCATCTGATTCCAACCCCCCTGCCACCAGCAGGGACCCCTTCCCCCAGCCCAGGGTGCTCAGAGCTCCATCCAACCTGGCCTTGAGCACTGCCAGGGAGGGGGCAGCCACAGCTTCTCTGGGCAGCCTGGGCCAGGGCCTCACCACCCTCATGGGGAAGAATTTCTTCCCCGCGGACTCACGCTGTTGAAGATCTGCAGCCCGTCGTGCCCTCCCGACACGTAGATCCGGCCCTCGAAGACGGTGACTCCGGCGGCGCTGCGGTTGGAGCTCATGGGGGTCACCACCGTCCACCTTGCCGGGAGAGCGGAGAGGTCAGCGCCGGCACGGCACACGGCCCCGCGGGTTACTATTAATTGATCGGATTCTCTAAGACCGTGTTCCAACAACTCTCCTCTCACCACTTAATTTGATTTAAACCCTGGTTTTGTTCGCTTGCATCCAGGTAAAAGTCTTGCGAGGGGGGATGCTGCTCCACTGCCGGAATACCAAGGCTTTTCCGCGCCGTTCACCGCGTTCCTTTCACAGCCCGGACGCCCAGCGGTGCCGCGGCACGGGACTAGCAGTTCTCCCACCCCGGCAGCAGACAGACGGACAAGCTTTAGGGCACCAAGAGCTCTTACTTGTTTGTTTCTGGAGAATAGGACTCCACGGAGTTGAGGGATGAGTTTCCATCGTATCCACCACAGACGTAGATCTGGCCGTCCAGCACCACCGTTCCCATGGCACTGCAACGAAGAGCAGGCCCCCCCCC